AGTGAGGTTTAATGTCGCTTTTACCAACAATAAAGGACTATCACTGCGGGGAACGCCAAAACTGAGCTTCACACAGTGTACCCAAGTGAGGAATCGAGCCCGGGTGTTTGGACTGACGATCTAACGCGGTAACCAATAAGCTACTACATCGCCCCGTGGTAGGTCAGTAGTCGTTTACCCCAACGCTAATAAACAACAGAACGTCAGTGTGTGAGTATAGTTCATTCAAGCACTGGAGGTGAATATTGGTGGGGAAACAACTATTGCGATAGCGATAGTCTGTTGCCACCAACTATTGCAATACTATTGCAATAGGGGTTTTCTCTCCTTCAGTTGACTCACTTGAAGTCATTTCCTTAATGAATGTGTAGTTTATATGAACGAAATTCAAGTTGAAGTAGTTTCAGTCTGTTTTAATCACTGACAAGAAAGTTTTAAAAAACATAAACTCAATGAAGCTGCAAGTCTGCAGGGGTGGATAACTCTAAATCAAAGTGAACACGAATCTGTTACTTCCTGAACCATTGATTAATTGCTATCGGATACTCAACAAATGCAATCCGTCGATAGTTCGATGCATCGTTGAAGCTCTCATTATCACGGCATGTGACAACTTGTGTGACTTTACACATTTTATCTATGTTCGGATTCGAACCCAGGCATTCGGTGTGAAAAGCGAACACTTTAACCGCTAAACTACTAGTGGTGGCCGATTAAATCAAATAATCGAAGATTGGTCGCAGTGACTAAACGACCAAGCAATCGATCATGTTTTCTCATAATCGAACGCAAACAATTCTGGAACACTTGTTTTCATTAACAAAATATTTCACAAGGTTGGTTTAGTCTGTTGCATTTCATAAGCACCACAACCTCGTTCCAAGTCACGATTGAATTTATTTTAAAGACTCCAAGAAATTTATGTTCCTAACATACTAGTCATCCTTTAAAGATGTGAAATTTTGCAAAAAACCCTCCAAAGAACTACATGTTTTTTCCTATTTTTTTGTGTGAATTAACAAATTTCATAAATGACACCAATTATTTTCGATGATTGATCGGCTGCAATGAAGGAATCATCAATTATGAGATTTTTAACCAATTCCCAAAACTATAAGCTACTCCATCGGCTCCAAATAGGTCAGTATTCGTCTGTACCGATATTGTATGCATATATTGTCAAAGGCCTGCATGATTCCCTCCATCTGTAAATGTTTATCTACATCAGACAGAAGACGATTGAACTAAACGAGGGCAATGAGGTAGCCTAGTGGTTAAAGCGTTCGCTCGTCACGCCGAAAACACGCGTTCGATTCTCCGCATTGGTACAATGTGTCAAGCCCATTTCTTGTGCCCCACGCCGTAAGATTACTGGAATATAGCTAAGTGCGGCGTAAACCGAAACTCACTCACTTTTTGGTACAGTGGATAGAGTGTGAGCATATGGGAACGTTACATTTAATGTGAAAGGTGTATATAAGTGATGATACATTTAAGTATATTTCATGCAAATGTAACGTATATTTAAATAGATATATCTACTCCATTAATTATAATTTGTTTGGTAGACTAGTGGCTAAGGCTATCGGTCGTCACGCCAAAGACCCGGGTTCGATTCCCCATAGGGGTTCAGTATGTGATGCCCATTTCTGGTGTGTCCCCCGCCGTGATATTGCGGGATTATTGCTAGAAACGGCGTAAAACCATACTCACTCACTTGTTTATCACGTAGTTGTAATGTGTTATCGAGACATGGACATTTACGGGTCACTGCCATATTGTTGGGGAAATGGCGTATTACCGATTAATATACATGAGGTATTCTGGACGTTGGGAGTGTACCTTGTATCGTTTCTCCTTTTGCTCTAAACCATGGGAATTTCAGATAGAGGGTAGGTGCTGGACAGCCAAAGTTTATCCTGAGATGCGACTGTATATATGGTGTTGTCAGGCTCTGTGACTTGGCTGTCTGTACGCCATCGTTTACCAATTCGTTTACTCACTGGATTGTCTGGTCTAAACGCTATTATACACATACCAACGATATTTCGTTGAATAGTGTGCAATGCAGCGTTCAATAATTCACGAAAAGTTTTTTTTATGTAATAGATTATAGCTTTTGATAAAGCATATAAAGTTTGATTTAAGCTACTGAATGGACAATTTGAAATACATGCCCAGGTTGTAACGCATTTAGATGACCCGTGAAGGTCCGGGTTAGAATTGGCCTCAGTCACCCATGCTTCTCGTAAGAGGAGACTAACGGGATCGGGTGGTCAGGCTCGCTGGCTTGGTTGACAAATGTTATCGTATCCCAATAACGCAGACTGATGCTCAGTATTGCTGAGTGCGGCGTAAAACTCAACTCTATCACTCTCTCTCCAAGGGACGATTACTCCCTCAGAGCTGACAGGGTCAAGTTCAAGTTGAAGAGTCATCTGCAACTCGAGTGCGGTGTAAAACAAAACACACTCAGAATTATATCTTTGATGGTAAAATTAACTACTAAATTAAACAACGTTGGTTGCGGCGTAAAACTAAACTCACTCGCACATTTAGGTAGATTTTGTTGTACACCATAGGTAAAAATCTGATAATTATGCAAAACAAGATGACAGACTGACAATATGTAATGTAAATATATTATTTTGCAGAAAAATATATACATTGCACTCAAAGCATGGTCTGAAGCTGTAATCAACGACCCGGCAGCTGTTATTCATTTCCATGGAAGGAAACATGATATCCTTTCGAATCATCTTGATAGAGTCGCGAATACTAGTAAGTGAAAATGCCATTGTATTCACTGTTTTGGTGTATTATTATCAACAATCGCTTGCTTTCCCTCGCCTGTTAACAGAATTTCTCAAAATGAAACTATGTACTGAAATATTGTACTGACTCATCCCGCTATAAGAATGAGTGAGTTTAGTTTTACGCCGCCTTTAGCAATATCCCAGCAATATCACGGCGGGGACACCAGAAATGGGCTTCACACACTGTACCCATATGGGGAATCGAACCCGGGTGACGTGCAAACGATAAGCAATAAAACAACCAACTCCTTAGTACAGGGGTGGTGGGGTAGCCCAGTGGTTAAAGCGTTCGCTCGTCAGGCCGATGGCCCGGGTTCGATTCCCCACATAGGAACAATCATACGCGAGACGGCCGAACGGATTTAACCAATGAGACAACGGCTACTATTTAGGATTCGGCGGTACTTACAAAATAGATTTTCTCTTCCCCCGTCTCCAACACTGATCTCACAACAAATGAAAACCCGCACACAACACAGATTTATGACCTGCAGAATATACGCTTTTGGGTTTCTGTTGACATGGTTATCATAAGCTAATATTTCCCCTGCCCCTTCTGGGCCAGACAAACCAGCAATATATTGACATTATGTTCATCTGTTAACATTATGTCCCAAACATCGATCCCAACTTTTAAGAAATGGTCAGGATGCTGATGACATTATGTTCATCTGTTAACCCAAATGTTAAACGATGGCATACAATCCCAAACGTCATCGATCCCAACTTTTACGAAATGGTCAGGATGCTGATGACCTACATTTGTTTTTGTTTGTTTGTTCTATAAACGCTGCACTCAGCAATATCCCAGCTGTATGAGGGCGGTCTGTTAATTGTCGTATCTGGACCAGACAATCCAGTGATCAACAGCATGAGCATCGATCTACGCAATTAGGATGCCATGGCATGTGTGAACCTGTTCAGCCAGCCCGGTCGTCCGGTAGCTGAGTAAATGACAATGAACGAGAAAGGAGACAGACGTTTACACTAATTATAATCCACACACACATTACGGTGAATTTACAAACGAGCAAGGATGGCCATGATGCTGGCAAACCTAGAAACAATATCATGACGAATATGGTACCAGCCCAGACTTAAGCTGGTTTTATAGTGCTAGCTCACTGAGATACCATACTACAGTTAAGCATGAGTACCCCACTCAGACACATTATACTGACTCCGAGCCGACCAGTCCTTAATGCCCCATTAATGCCGAGCGCCAGGCAGGGACCAACAAGTACCATATTTTAACGTCTTTTGGTATGACGCGGTCGGTGATCGAACCCGCAACCTTCCGCTCTCCGGGCGGACGCTCTAACCACTACACCACGGGGGCGGGCCCTGCTCAATGCCACACAAGGTTGCAAACATATTTTACGGATCAATTTTTACTCATTTTCTCCTATTCTTACTAAAACAAAGTATTTAATGGACATTCTCAGTAATACCTCGAATGACCACATAAATATCAGCAGATCAAAATTGGGTCTGTTCACATATGATTCAAACAATTGCAGTCTTAAATCTGTTGCGTTTACCTTCAGTACCCTGTTAACTGACACGTGGGTGAAAGAATTGTCACTGAGACCTACACTGGATTCGAACCAATGCGGATCCTAAATCGACTTGCCCCACCGACCGACCGACCGACCGATAATCGCTGTGTTAAACACACGTACTTTACATTTGTTCATCGGAAAGGGTAAGTGCTACATATTTACCTGATCGCTAAATACAAAAACGTGAAGTATCTCACAGCTCCATCACAGACGCGCGTACGCACACATGCACCTTGGCTTATGTAATAAAACTCGGTAAACAATCATGGCAGCTCTCGTGATGTTCACGCAAATTACATGATCTATTAAGATGCGTGATGTGACACTCTGGGTGTTATTATATAACACGATACGCGAACAATCTGTTTGCAGCGACAACGACACACTTTCACGTAAAATATACACTGAGATAACCAGGGAATATGGGTCAGTGTAAAGACACCAAACCGGAATCCAGCCAGATAGCCCTTTTCCGCGCAGAAAATCAATAACAAACATCTGAGTGCGAGTTGCTAGGATTTAAGGAAACATCTTAAGAAATGTCTTAAATAGAGAGATATGCGAGTGCTCGAGTCCGTTTTTCAGATGGATCAGGAAAAGTGCGTGCAGCACGTGCACTTACCTTGCAGTTGATTGGCAGCTGACGACAGAGCTTGGGCGGCTCGTGACTCGCCACAGATTGTTCAGGGACTGTTAGCTCTAACAAGCTCTCGCGCGAGTTTGGAAAGCTGTCCAGCGCAAATTACCATAGAAGGAATTGCATATTTATATGGTCGCGAGGGCAGATCGTTTTCGGAAATCAACCATGTATTTGTACTTGCATATAGTTTAATTTTGTTTACGTTTTTAATTATCGGTATGACTTCCGCCTGTATCTCCCCTTAATTATAACGATGAGGAAATATTTCTTTGAGTTGCATTTTTAGAAGTTGGATATGTCTTTCAGTATGTTCAGATACAATTAAAGAAATATCTTAAAACTCATCCTTATCAGATGAGGAATATTTAATCAGGTGATATGATTTAACTAGAATGAAATTTAAGGGGGGATACGGGCGGAAGTCTTTCCACAGAGGGCTAGATAAAAACCTTTACAAGGGGGGTAATTAATAGCATCGCCATGAAACGAATTTGTAAACTGTTGAACTTTGTTGTTTTTCATTCCGTTTTCTACAGTACTATGTTTTGGTTCGTATGCGATTCCATTATGCTTCAGCAGTTGGGTTTCATCCGCGCATTAATACAGATCATGTGATGTAGTTGTAAACACTTACTTAAGAAGATGCGACTGGATTCCGGGTTTCATTATAGAATGGGTAATAAATAGAATAACCCACGGGGTACGAGTGATTACGGGAAATATGTCGTTCGTGAAATTAATGTTCGAGTCCGTCGCTGAAGCTCGGGATAGTGAACATTAATTTCACTCGGGACATATTTCCCGTAATCACTCGTACCTCTTGGGTTATTCTCTAAATATGTACATATTTGAATCAAGTGAACAGAAACACACGGTACCGTGTAGAATAATATTATCAAATGTTGCACATCAAAAAACAGGTTATAGGCTACAGTAAATATTTTACATGTACATTGAAATTACTTTGAATGAAATATTTCCAACACATTGCAGATGGGGCAGAATGGTCCGATTTGTCTTTACAACCATTACAACGATTTTTTGACTAGAATAACACTGTTGTGTTTTTTTGGGTGACAGGCCGGGAAAGCCACATTTAAAAATGACTATTGCCGGGAAAGCCACATTTCAATTACATGGCTGTAGCCGGTAAAGCCACATTTCCAATAGATTAATTAATTCATGGATTACCGTAACCGGTAAAAGAGTGTCCCCATGTATTATATTGTGTACAGGCCTGCAAAGGACATACGGTCAATTTATGGAGGCTGGACAATGTATTGTGTTTGACATTTGAAAGTTTAATGCATTTAGCTAAGTTTCGCAAGGCAGATTTATTGGAATATCTAAACAGTGACATAAACGTGGTCTAACCCAATAGAAGCTTTTAATATATAACTTTCTAAACTGTGAATATTTAGGACAAATCAAAATAAAATGATACTCATCTTCAACAAAGATTTTACCCTGGCTATTGCAATAATCACAAATACAATCTTCCCTTGGAATATTACTGTATCTACCAATTTCTATCATAATGCAATGAGTAGATGTTCGCATTTGCGTGATTATTTTCCTATCACTGGATTTCTAACTAGATCCAAATACAATTCAAAACAAAAAAATTCTTTTAAATTTTTGTAAAGAAACAATTTACCATTTAACTCTAAGTCAGATCTCCATTTCTGAATATAGATATCAATGAGACGTTGCTTAACAACTTTACAAAAATTATTAACATTTACAATTGGAAATTCCCATAACCAATTTCATACAAAAACATTTTCACACTACGTAACCATGATTAATAACCATTATTTAGACCATTTAAACAAAAAACATAAACAACTCGCTATATACAGTTTTCACTGTATAATAACTTAAACCAATAACGTAACACACGGTCATACCTATTTATATATAAAAGGTACCTCCCAAGTTCGCCGTACACACAAACTGTAGATGATTTGGCATTGATCTGCAAAAATTTTAAGTGAATTCTTTCAAATTCAGATCATTTTTCAGATTAAGATTTATTATCATTATGTGATATTATTATTATAAGTAATATACCTATTATATGTTCCAGTCGAGTGGTTTTTAATTACTAGGTCCCTCCCCTCCATCAGGTAGACTGTTCCATCAACTTTTTGTTAGTTAATTACCATATAATACCGAATGTATGTCGTATCCATGTTGATAAAAGTACATTGAAATACGTAAGTCATTATACGACGGACAGGTGAAGAAGTAGTGAATATTATCTTCTCTCTGGTGACCGCAAGAGCAGGCCCGGTGTGGAGAGATGTGTCTATCGAACTATGAGAATTTAACTCGCTACACTCGAGCCTGAGGCGTGCATGGATTACTTGACATTGTCTATTACCAATATTGATATCAAAGAAGAACGAGGCACATTTACGAGTAGATATTAAACGTTTGAAATCAGAGTGATTATTAACAGAGCTTGTTGATTGTGGCAGATCGTTCCACTGTCTGATTACATCTGGTATAAAGGATCTAGCATAGAGGGCAGATCTGCAACAGATATTGCGAATTTGTTCCGAATTTCGTAGAGTGCAGGTGCTATTATGTGATTTAGACGGGATTACGTTTTGCAAGTAAGTCGGAGTCTCATTATGTACAATTTTGTGCATCAGTTTTAGTTTTTGAATAGACCTTCTTTCATCCAAAGGGTAAAAATTGGTTACAAAATATAATTTCTCATGACTGGTGCCGCGTACAGCACCACATATTGTGCGTAGAGCATCTAGGTGTAATCTTTCAAAGGAGTGACTTTGTTCTTTACTGCAATTGTCCCAGATATGAGAACAGTAGTCAAAGAGAGGAAGAATAAATTGTTTGTAAATAGTGTCTAGGCTCTTACGTGATAATCTATATTTCAAGGACCTAAATCAGTTGATCATCGGGGATACTTTCTTGATTATGTCGCTAATGTGCTCATGCCAATTACAGTTATTTTGCAATGTTGAACCAAGATGTTTATGACGAGAAACTACTTTAATATTGATATTATTCATGTGAAGATTAGAATGTGCTTGAGATCAGTAGAGTTAGCATTGTTGAGGTACTGTTTTAAAGCATTGGTAAATGGGGTTCTTTGTTTATTATATTTTGAGCAGTAAAAGATAGTGTGGATGAAGGTTAATGTTGTGTAGAGTGATTCAGATTGCAATTTGCTAATCTTAATCTGGTTAGGGCAACATCAATTCGGCGTGTTTGGTGATAATTGTTACATTTTGCATTTAGTGTTTGTTGAATTTGGTAGAGTGGATAATGTTTTCCTATTGATTTGCCAGTTGTAATTGAATTTATTTAATGTTATATTGTTAACTTTCTTTGTTAGGTCTGTTTTGGAGTAAGGTAATTTGTTTTGTTTTTTGAGTGGAGTCCAAGTTTGGCAGCTTGGTCTGCCATTTCGTTGCCATGGACTCCGATAGTGACGGGACCCAGATAAAATGACTGTATTTGATTATTTTTATTTTGGTGGTATAGTATTCTTCTGTATATGTTATTTATTAGATCTGGTCTTTTTGTTGTAGAGTAATTTATGAGAGCCTGTATGGAGCTTAAGGAATCCGTAAAAATGCAGATGGTAGTGTTTGTTTGGTCAGATGTTGTTTTGCATGGCCTGAACTATGGCTGCGAGTTCTGCTGTGAAGATACTGGAGTTTGCTGGGAGATTATAGGATTGTTTAAGGCTTTTTTTTTTGGGGAGATGTAGATACCAAAACCAGTATTACCATTTTGGTCCTTGGATCCGTCAGTATACATGTGAAGGTTATCTTGTGGATTGTAATTTTGTTGTATGAAATCTTGCACTGTGAATTATTAAGTACCTGTACTTTAAGTTTACAAAGTTTTAATCCAAGTAGAGGAGTTATATCTCTCCAAATGTCAAAACAAACAATGAATGGTCACAAGATTCACTTGGCTTCTAATCATTATAGGTAGGCCCTGGGAGTCTCCCTTATAGGGACTGCCTCCGTGGTGTGGTGGTTAGAGCGTCCGCCCGGAGAGCGGAAGGTCGCAGGTTCGATCCCCGACCGCGTCATACCAAAAGACGTTAAAATATGGTACTTGTTGGTCCCTGCCTGGCGCTCGGCATTAATGGGTACAACGACTGGTCGGCTCGGAGTCAGTATAATGTGTCTGAGTGGGGTATTCATGCTTCACTGCGGCATGGTATCTCAGTGGGCTAGCACTATAAAACCAGTTTAAGTCTGGGCTAGTACAAGCAGCCGCACATACACATACACACGCATGCACGTCGTCATATGAGCGAAATATTCTCAAGCACGACGTAGAACCCAATTTCACCTCACCTCACCTCCCTTATAGGCAAGGGTTCACTTTTATGACATGTAATAAACCATGTCCAGTCAGTCAGTGGGTCTGACTTTTATTTAATCCATATAACGTAGGTGTATGTAATTTATATTATACGAACAGTGACATGGGGGAAAAATAAACATACTTGCGCTTTTGTGGGTAACAAATAAAACATACACTGCAAACGCTATTTTAGAAAATGCTAGCCATATTAGGGGTAAATATAACAGTCAGTATCAATTTTTGACACTTAGAACGAGAAGGATGCAGATGACTGACTGACTGAGTATGGTTATACGCCGTTTTTAGCAATATTCCAGCAATATCACGGCGGGGGACACCGGAAATTAGCTTCACAAATTGTACCCATGTGGGGAATCGAACCCGGGCCTTCGGCGTGACGAGCGACCGTTTTAACCACTAGTCTACCCCACCGCCCCAGGATGCAGATGAGTGAAGTTATACTAATATATAAAATTGGTCCCTAATTGATGGCAATACGGACGGCGAATAGAAAACACTTACTTTAAACATGATCCCAACTTTCAAAAATGTATCTCTTCATGCGTCAGATGCAGTTACATTAATATAAAGCACAAATTGATAATATCAAATTGCGGCTTATTCCTGCAGTTCTCATGAATAAATATGTCACATGTAAAATGCATTATGTATATCAACAATATGAGTAAGTTTGGTTATTTCGCCGCTTTT